TACTCAATACTTCCTCCACAATATCTATCCAAAGAAACGTGTATTAAGAAAGAGAGACGGAACTTCCATCTGCAAGATAACAACACGGAGGAAAAAGAAAAAAGTTTACTTGTATGATGAAGAAATTAGACAAATGAGGAAATTGTTAAAAAAACTTAGGGAAATGGCGAAGGATGCCACAGGGTCACTCCTGATAGGATATATCGATTACTAAAATTAAACCTTTTAATCATCTTTCAAATTGATTACTTCAACAGGCATCTATCTCGCTTAGAACTTTATTTATTTCAAATGGCAGGCGTTTTGATAGATATCATTAGCCATTTAGCTGGCTTCGGGCTTCACAGGGGGAAGGTTCATCAAAGTAGCAGAAAGTCGAGGGGTGGGGAACAGAAGAGCGATTCACAGATGTAAAAGAGATAGACGGACACAAAGGTAGAGAAAAAGGTAAGGGGAATACTGTGGAAGGGGTCGAATATGACAACCAGGGGGGGGGGGGTCGTGGTAGTTAGAAGCCAGAAGTCAACTGCCGGTTAATAGACTTTTTTGCTGTATGAGTATACGTTGCCCAGGGTGCACCACGTGGAGGTAAGTCTATCGCACACCCCATCTCGCTTAGAACTAGAACAAAGGGTTTAGACATTTTAGTATCTTACTAAGCGAACCCCAAGGGAAATTTAATGTAAAGGAATCTCTGATTATGCGCTGGATTTAAGGCTTAAGCAAATGAAATGATAATTCCCGATTCAAAATAAACTGCGCCTTGTAATGCTGGCATAAAAGCAAATGGTGCTAGACGTTAAATTTAAACTAGAACTACTCAATATGGGCCAGCTGTCTTAATTAATAACCATCAGCGACCTAACCAAAATGTTATTTAATTCAAAAGGTCAATTAGCCATATTCAGCGAGGCAATGAGTTGATCTATTTAAGTCCATTTATAACTTATGTAGTTACTACAATATACCCGATGTGCGTAGCCATAGGAGGACAATATTTTTGCACAACTTTTCCCGTTATAAATAAGGTCTAATGCGATAGTGGTTCGGTCATTCAAGACAAAGCGAGCCATAAGCCATTAATGAAAGAATGTTTTAAAAATTAGTAGTAAAAAATTCTACATTGAAGGAAAATAAAGAACATATTCGCCGAAAGTTAAAAAAGAACAATTTCCTTCCATAACTATATAATCCTATCTAATTAGTGAGACGAAGGAATAAAGTTGAGCTTGAAGGAACCAGTTAACCACAATCCTGTGGCCTTGGAGCAGTAATAAAACCTTCGACTTATTTGGAAACTTGCTATAAGGAAGTGAGGCATTGAGAACACAGGTTTTAGGTCTTTTAAAAAGTAGTAGTTGGAATTCACTGCACACCTAATGGGTATGAACTACACAGAGTTCAAGGATAAAAACACGACCAAATAAAGCTCATCATGATTGATGGTGGGCCCCGAAGTGTAATATTTAAGTTATAATAAAAAAGTACGCTTTGGTTTCACAACCAATCCTGAATAAATTGATTAAGTAATAAAAATGAAAATACTTTGCTCAGACAACTAACCCACAAACCTAACAGCATTACGGAATTAGCTACTTATCACCCTTTTGAAATAAGCAATAATAAGAAAGATATTAATAAAACAAACTTCATAATAAATCTATACGAGAAGCGATACATACCTTCTCCATCTCCTTCTTAGTGGTCTCAATGAGGTCATTGCTTTTGGCCATGGTTTTGTTGAAAGACTGGTACTTAGTTTTGTAGAACTCAATCTATAAATGAAAAGAGAAAAAAACGGCTTGTCACCAGCGGCAATGCAGCTCTGACAAGTGCACATTCACCTTAAGCGAGGAAGACTAATGTTAGAAACTACGTTGACTGAATATAGATTTAATTAAAATTTTTTAAATGGGGTTAATCGAAGTAGTGAATTTAATCATATGTGATAAACAAACGGGAACCAACACAGAAATATAACCTTTGGTGAAGCAGGGCACAGAACAGTCAATATGTGGATAAGCGATTCTCCTAGCCTGAAGCTCATTTATCGAAGTTAAAAGTGACAGATGCATATAACGCCGATAACTAAAAATCTTCGCTATTCTGTTTGCGTTCCATTAGACATTCATTAAATCTAACTCCATATATATATATATATATGAAAATAAACTAGGAATTACAATAATAGCATTTGAGCTATAAGTAGGGCAGGACAAGATTTTGGTATTTGAAGACGACCTAACATCTAAAGGTATAAGGTTAACAAAATATTAAGTGCCATCAATAGTCCACTTATTGCACCAATTTAAGATGGAAACGTTTGAAAGAGAAGGAAGTTTTAAATCAGCAACTACGTCTACAAGCCAATTCGACGCAAAATAAGCGAGAAGATAAAATTCTACCTGTTCCTTGAGCTTTTCTTCAACCACTTGGTGAGCATCGAAACGTTGCTTGAGGGCCTCGCATTCCTCACGATAACGTTGAGTTTCACGCTGTTCATTGAGGAGTGCTTGCTCTGATGCGACACGAGCTTGTGTCACTTTCGCTTCCGCCAACTTGGTCTCCAATTCACGAGATTTCAACAACTGAAAGCACAAAAAACGAATGAGAACAAGTATATGCACCCTTGGCGTAGCGGTGAACGTTTTAAAAACTATAATTTACGAGCCAGGTATTCATTAATACGCATCCAACAAACGGCTTAACCAATAGGATCGGTTAAAATTGGCAAAAGAAGGTTTATGGAATACGATAAGTAAGAGCTAGAAAGCAATCCCAAGGGGCACAAAAAATCGTGTGATACAGCAGTATGCCAAAGGTAGAACGCGAGATAAAAAATCACTGAAGGTGACTCAATTATCGAAATAAGCAATTGAACTGGTAGACATAAGTAAAGAAAAGACTCACAGGGAGCTGAAGCCTAGGAGGTTGAAACAATAATGACTAACAAAGAAATATTCACCTCATTGAATGATTCGGATGAAATTATGATCGAGAAACACGTTGCAATTCATGGAGAGCATAGATATTACTCAATCAGTACTTTATTCTGGGTACGCAAAGATCAAAAATGGGAATTAATTAATGATGACACATTCAGATGATTACAATCCGAATCTGGAGCGATAGAAATGAGAATGATTTGTTATTATTATGTGCTGATTAGGGACGTTGAGTAAAGTGAATTGAGAAATCGAATACCCAAAATATAGAAAAGGACTCTCGGTAATCTCACTGATAATCAAGGATGACGAATTTCTTTATAGCTGAACCTAAAAACGCATGTCAAACATGAATAAGCAAAGCTGGTATAGGACCGAAAAAACCTATTAATTTTACCCAATAACGAAAAGCTCAGCAGTTTTTATAAATATACCTTCTGCACGTAATCTTCGCGTTTCTCGTGGTCTTTAATGAATTTATGTAGTTTTTCTGCTAAAACTTGATTTTCCCCACGAAGAGCATTATTTTTCTCCAAGTAGTCATTGAGCTGTGTCTGGATCTCATTGATACCAATTTGGAACCGATCGGCAACCTCTTTTCGTTTTTGGTCTTCAGACTCGGCCAAAGCGATACTTTGATCCTAAAGAGGAGCATAGTTTAAAGGATGGACACATACCCTAATTAGATGGTTCTGTTTTTGAAGTTCTCTGCATAAAGATTCCAGCTTTTCTTTCTGAACGCTCACTCGATTAAAGCTATCCAGAAATTGATCACGTTCAGCAGATATCTATGGAAATAAATAGATTTAACTAAATAGAACGTACAGACAAAACGCGCTTATCTGCCTGCTTTAACTTAGTTGCCATAGAACTATTCTCGGCTGTTGCAAGCTGAAGTTTTTTAAAAAGAGCAATAAGTTTATCTTCGTCAGTAGCACCATCAGGAATGTCACTCAATTCAGAGGCTAAAATATGTGAGCTTTCATATGGAAAACAAACCAATGTGTTTAAGTTCCCGCATGCGCTGCTTCTTAGTCAAACCCAGAAAATTCTTTTGTTTGCAATCTAATTCATTTAACCCCTCAGTATTTTTAACTGTAACTTCCTCCAAGGACATTATGTTTCAGTTATTTACACAAGAATTGGTCGAGTAAGAAATTTCCTAAGTAGCGCAGTAACAGAGAAGGACGAGTGTGGTTTTAAAATAATAATTTATTTATCATTATTTTTAGTTTATTATGCTGCATTGATAAAATTTTAATTTTTCGGTCATAAATGAATAACGATAGAATATTTTTCTATGTAAATACTTCCATACTGATGAACAAAGAGAACAAGGCGTTCTTTAAATATTTTACAAATGTTTATTTAATCAATTCAATATAATTCGCTTCATGTTTATTTAATTTTTAACGCCTTACCGCCGCATTTTGGAAGTCATACTAATTTCATTTTTTAAAGTATTGATAGTTCTCTTTCACATAGGTTTTTATACAATATTAGCTGTCCTCATTTGTTATCAGAAATGCATACTTGATTAGAGATACTTGGTTGCATTCGTTGAATAAATCTTTATTAATCATCATGTTTCTAAAGAATAGATCAGGATCGTTAATATTTGATTTACCCCTTTATTTCAATTCGAAGGGATAAATTTAGTTCGCAGTTCACAGGAAGCAATTTATCGTGGCAACTCGAAAGCTTATCTTATCTCTTAATGAGCATGCCTATTGATTATGATAGAATAAGTTCTCTGCTTAGAGCAAATAAGTTTTCAACTTCCCTATTACATTTAAATCGGGTAAATGCCGCTTAACTTTTAAGGTTTGAGGCTTGTTCATATTCATGAACTTTAATAGAAGGAAATAGAATGAAATGGTCGTTTTCTTTACAATATTGTTAACTAAGCCTGTATTATTATCAATGGTTTGGGTAATCTACTTTTGAATAAATAAGTTCCTTCAAATGTAATATTGTGAATTTTGATAGAATTTTACTCACGTACGTATTAGTAATTGTTATTGATTGAAGTTGTATTCATCATACAGTTTTGAAAAGTTCTTTACATACCCTAATTTCTTGTCTAATATGAGCTTAATACAGCTAGAACTGGTAAACCAACCTGTAATTACAGGGGTAGGTAGCCATTCTTCTATGTTATTCATATTAATAATGTCTAAGCGAGAACCTCCACCACCTCAAACCTTAAGACCTTCTTTCATATTTATTTATTTCAATAAGCATTTACTACCAGCAACATATCTTTTATTTTGGCTCTCCGAATTGTAAATGGCATCAATGTTAGAACTTAATTAGATCACTTCTCCTTGAGAAGTACAAGGTACTGTTCCGAATAATCGAGTCATTCATGAGTTTATCTTTTTTCGCTGATAGTCTTACTATACTAAATGAGTGTTGATGAACTTAATAAAGATCGGCGTTGGTAGTTTTAACTATTCATGTAGCAGAAATATATTGATTTATCAACTCACTATGCCAAATTATGACTAAACTTACCACTGAGTAAGGCACAGGTCCACAGAATAAAATGTTATACAATGACGCCACTTATTTCAGGCACTCTACAATATCAATTATTGAAAGACAACAAAAATGTCATTTTTGTTTACGCATGATCTTATCATTATCCTAAAACAGTTAACTAGCTGTCAATTTTGAGCTAGCTTCAACATGATCTGCACTGCATTCAAAGACTAAAGCTAAGCCGTTTTACCGTTATCCGCATGTGGATCGAGCCAATGGGGAATGCGAATTAGTACCCAAATGCAACCAAAGGCAAGGTGATACTATATGGTCATCTGCATTTGTCACTCATGGTGTAGGCTTTTAGTGACTGGCAGAGTGGTCGCTGACACCACTCCCCCTCGTTTGTACTTTTCGTTTTTTAATCAATATTTTCGTCTTTTATGCACCTTTTAGTTTTTATTCCCGGTCATAGTGACTTGTCTGAGAAATAAAATCTCTTTGGGCCACGCATAATCATTTGCCGAAGATCAGATTTTCAGAAAAATTAAATGCCTGATATGTTTATGTGGAGTTATAAAACATAAACATATATTGTGACCTCAAGTAACATATAAGTAACATCCTAATTAAATCGTGGTTATTCCAGAATTTATCATGTAAAATTGAGTCGAGTGACAATTTTTCATTCTGCTCAACAGTATGAAACTGTAATTCACGACACAGTACACAACAAAGGGAGAAACCTACTTTCCTCTCAGCTATTTCGTAAATTGCTCAGTATAAAATCTCCAACTTTGAAATTTGTATTCATCACCATTCATGTACCGCAAAAACTGATGCCTAGTTTCGTGTCGGGCTGAAAAATTTGGGATGCTTTTGGTTAAAAAAATTAATTAAGTTTTCTCCTGCATACTTAGAAAACTTTGCGTAACTTTAAATATGTACTTCTGTAATGACCTATCAAAAATCTTTCCATTCGATCAAATTATTTCCGAATTTTCCAGTATGTCGATAACCTGGTGTGCTTTTTAACATTTACGTGCCTACAGGCTGTGATGGTTAGATGCTTTTCAATTACCCAATATTGAATGAATATAAACTTGTTTATGCACGTTCTATCAAGTAGCACTTAACATTACTGGAACCGATCGGCTGCTTATTTTCATTGAAATCAGTTTGCATAATCGGAAAGTTACTTTCCTCTCAGCTATTTCTTAACCTGTTCCTTCGATAAGTGGATCAACTAACATGAAGAGTCGTTACGCAATAACAACTTATATAGGGGCTTCATAATGTGATAGGATCTTGAACGTATAAATATCTGTGAGCTATTTTTCAATAGTTTTTCCTGTAATCTCGCATAGCCCCGTACAACAACGAAGTCACTTCACTCAGTTTGTCTGCGACATACTCTCATCATAAATTACCACTCGATTATAAGATCGAGTGGTTGTCTATTAGCTAATTATGATGTAATGATAAATACACTTTCCCATAACACATAGTTAAAACCACATCAATATAGTTCTCCAGTATTAGAAGAGTGGGAGGAGGTGCGTAGGCAATCCCTATGACGATAACAGCTTTTGACTAGGAAAATGCACATAACTCTCCCCAAAAAACGAAGTATCGTGTTAACAAGTACACAAAGCCACCACACATTCATAAGCTTTCATTGCTTAGTGATATTAACACATTGCAATGGAAGCGACCTCCACATATATCACGATAATTTATTGATATTTTGGTTTTTAATAATGTAAGAAGATACTTGTACGACGACCTGACAAAATTTCTGGCGTACAATATAACTAGTTATTCAGTCATTAGTAAATCTCTTTCCAATTAAGATTGTTGAATTTAAGATGTTAGCTCAGACTAATAGAAATCTAATTAACTTTTTTATACTGAAGAAAACTCATAAGTCAGCTGATTTTAATGGCCGAAATTACTCATTCACGAATCCCTCAGCATCCTTCTGTAAAATCTATTGCTTTGTGTTTAACGAAAATCAGACTAACAAATGATATATTGCAAGCGCTGAGCATATTGGAGAGCAGTAATTTCAGACCTCAAACAGTTTATTTCAGCTGATGGGAGAATGACAGTAACAGATGTGGAATTAGTTGAATCCTAATCAATCAGCAACCAAACTTATACTAGTTACGTAACAATGATCTGGTTGCCTTCACCACTATCTTGTTGCTATATATCCCATACAACTCGAATAAGTAGCTATTCATGTCCCGATATTTTCTGAAAGGCTTGGTAACTGCTTAATATATTCACACCTTCTACAAATGAAATACTTAAAGTGATGCAAAGAAGGAAACGATTCGGGAGGAACCATAAATTAAGCAGGGAGGAAGCGCCATGAGGAACCGGATTAGCTAGGATGCATTCAAATCACCTCCACTATTAATAATCATGAACGGAAGAGCAATAATCTATGATATCGTGAATGACCCACATAGCAAGAGTAATCACTTTCATTATGACTGACAAGCATCCAGAAAAAACCACCTAAAGTTAAACACAAGGCAATAAAGCTTTTCCGCAACAGTAATGGGAGAATTGATTACAACGTTTAAAGACCTTCCCAATTTACAGATTTAAAAGACCTTCCACTAGGTAAGATAGAAAAAACCTAGTCAAGAAATAACAGACGGACACAATGCGTTCAAAAGACTAAAATGATACCAATAGACCATGCACTCTGATTCAATTAATACCGAAGGAGACAGAGATGTTGTCACCACAATTCGTCATTCTTATGCACAATGTCTTGCCTAGCATAGACAGACAGTGGAAAGGGGAATAAAAGAGCAAGGGAGATGGGGAAAGAAACAGTGCAGACCGACAGATGCATTAGGGAAAAATCGCGAAGGGAGTGAGGTGAGACCAAAAACGGAACATGGTGCGAGAGGTAATGAAGACTGTCAACATAATCGGAGGGAATAGTAGGAGGAACTTTCCACTCTCATGTTAGTACTCAAATCCAATAAGGAGTACAGATAACAGCATAGATATATATTATTTTGGACAGTGCGGGTGGGTAAGGGTTAAAGGTTGTTTTCTGTACACAAACATTCAGAGCGCAAATGTCTCACATATAGGAATTTTGATGCGTCTCACTCAAATCTCGCGAAGGTAGATTTTTTGCATCTTCAATCCTAGGCACTTAATGGGAAATTGAGATTCGGAGCTGACAGAGTGCGAGAGACCGACTAAACCAGAAACGAGGATGGGTAGAGAAACGAGCTTATTTTCAAAGAACTCGTGGAGAGTTGTGAAAAATGGGGAATAAGAAGAATATAGGGTTAGACGAAGAGGGGGTCACGTCGTGTCTCTGTACACTGCACGGTCAATTAGACCGAGAATAGAAGGGACGAGTTTTAAAGGAATTATTGAGGTTGGGCAGCATAGTCGGAGTACGCGGATACCCCGGTAGCGCCCTGTGCAGATGCATTAGCAGAATTAGAATCATTGTTATTAGGATTCCAATGGGGCCCAGAGTTTGAGGAATTTATGTTACTAGCTGCGGCATTAGAATAAACCAAAGCATTTGATGCTGCTACATTATTAGTGTTGTTTTGGAAGTGGGTATTTTGAGCCGCTGGTACTCCGCCGGCAATCTGATGGGATTGATGATGGGTAACAGAGGTATTGTTTGTTCGGGGACCAGAAGCCGCTGCAGTTGCAGTAGGACCATATTGACTGCGGAAGAGGGCGGAATTTGTTGCATAGTTTGGATACATTCCTACATGGAAAGACATTTAAAAAATATTAGAAATAAAATTCAAATCAGATTGCACTAAAATATTAAACAATGCAAATATCTATACGTTAACCAATTTGATTTTAAAAGCTTATACTCAAGATCAGTTAGCAATAATTAATAACTTGCCATATCCACTGGCTGCAGGGCTGGGGGTCGGGGTGGCACTGAAATAATCATAGCAACCGTAGTAGCCACTATAGGTATAGGGGTCCAAGGAAGTAAAAGCACTGGGATAATCTCCATATGGATAGGCGGCGAAAGCGGCATAGGGGTCAACGAAAGCCATACACTTCATGTCTTAAATTTCGAAGAGAAACTTAGTACCAAAACTAACATATGTAAAATAATAGAAAACGATAACTCACTTTTATTTTTGTTTGCCTGCTCCTTCGTTACAGCAACTCGCACGTCACACTAAAAAGGATAGCACAATTTAGTAAAAAATTTATACAATATTTGAATTGAAGTCAACGCAACGAATTTAACTGCTAAAAGTCATCAAAGTAAATAAACTAATGACTTACGAAAAATTGAATGTTAGGAAAAAGATTAGTAATACAGATGGTAACTACTTATTACGTGTCAATTACTATAGACAATAATGGAAAATACTTTGAAGCATACCTGTCGACCACAGATTTCCTGCCTTTCCTTGGCAATTGCTTTACGAGCGGCGGCTTCAGTTGTAAAACTAACAAAAATGTAATGTTTCCTCTTCTTCTTTTGAGAGTCAAAGGGAAGATCTAGATTTTCCACTACGCCGAATTGGCTGAAATATTCTTTAATTGTTTCTTCAGGAAGGTCGGGGTCTATTCCTCCAACAAATATCTTTCTAATTACTTCACGAGATGGTTTTGCCCTTTTTGGATCAATTCTTTTATTCATTAATTTATGGTCGGATACGCTCAAAACTTTGTTAACAGATTCTTCATTGTCGAAGGTAACAAACCCAAATCCCCTTGAATTTCCGGTAAAGCGGTCAACTTTAATGATGCATCGGGTGACTTTTCCATATTTTGAGAAATAATTCTCCAAATCAGCTAAAAAGATTTAAACTCACAAATATAAAATTACTTTCTTTCGTCTCCCAATTTAAACCACCAACGAAAATTTTTCTGTTAAGAGAAATATGACGGTAAAAAACATCATTACCTGGCATCATCATCGGCCTCAGATTGACCAGCAGCATCGGTATTTTCCTCAGGATGAGCTTCTGAAGAATTGTTTTCTACCACCATCTCTTCAGATTCTATATTTTCTACATTGTCTTCAACCTTATTAGCCTGCTGATCGGCGTTTTCGACGGGCGGCTCCATAGTCCGTGTGGCAAATGTTAATGGTGGTGAATTTCAAGCGTTTCACAAATTTAAACAAAACTGAATTTCGTTCAGTTGAAATCATCACGAGAAAGACAAAATGAATTAAAATTTTTCAACCCCACAAAGTTATTTTTTATTTTAATTTATTTTACAATTTTCTCTTATCCTTTTGCATTCTAGGTTTTTGAAATAAATCTAATCCGAATTTTTCTATTTTGAAATTATTTACATCTCCTGCCTCTTCAAATTACTTCATTTAAATATATGGCCTGATAAAACATGTTTTTATTTATTTGAAAATGAAATTAATATGTGTTTTATCTTAGACATTGAAAATAATTATTGTTTTTTGATTGCGATATTTCCAAGTCTTGAATGCTTCTTTGATTATTTGATAGATATGTGCTAGGAGTATATAGTTTTTATTTGGGCTACATAAAAGAATCTACAACCGCACAATGGATACCTATCAGTTATTCCTATCTAACGTGAATCTTCATTGTTTATAAATGCTATTCCTAATTTGTTCGTACAAGGCATTTTCTGTTGTTCATTTTCGTTATGAAATTAGTAAGCTGAGATTTTGTCATTGGTTATTCATTCCCTTAAGAAAGTGGTGGCTTTAAATTGCCTATTTAAGATAAAATCATACATTCTACTGAAAAAATTGAACTCTTATTTACTGATAATCCTTTTCTACCTTAATCTTTATGTATAATTTATTTTTATCGATAGATCCAGCAAATTAGAAACATTAAATCCAGTGACGATTCACCACATACATTGACCAACCTACTTCTTTTATCAATTTAAGTAAACCTTCGGTGCAAAATTTGTATAATTAGTGCATCCATGCTAGTTAGTCATTTATTAGACTTACTTGAAATAATTCTATGTAATTGTAAATTACTATGATAAAAATAAAGCCAAAAACTTTATATGTCATGCAAAAATATGATTGGTTATATAAATAGGTATAATTTTAATCAGAATAAATGGAAGCATTTAATAAATGAATATTTATTTTCACGACTTATAGACCAATCACAAAGCAGTATCAATAACGTCCGAGTGACTTCACTTTTTGCCGTTCTATTTGTCGCAATGACTTGTGTAAGTTTTATTACCCAAATACCTATTTTTAGGTAACTATTCTCCATTCTGTTTCGGAGAAGGTTCTTTTGACACTCAAAAATATAGAACCAGATACAACCGTTCGAGTGCTTAAAGAAAAATTAGTATCTTCTGGTAATTTATTGTGTATATTATAATTTAAATAGACAAGAAGTACAAATTTGATCGTATATCACTTCGTCTTGAACCAAGTAAGCCATTTTCCTTTGAGATAACTTCTTTTCTAGGAGGGGTTATGTTGGCAAACACCTCCCGCCTGAACGAGGTCGTGGGTTCAGAGAAACTCTCAAATGTTTGTCTCTACTACAAAGATTTAGGTCCACAAGTGTCCTGGAGTACTGTTTTCTACTTGGAATATGCCGGTCCTCTTGTGATTTATTCACTTGTATTTGCTGGCATCCCGTTAAATATTCTCGGCTCAATGAAACATCACGATAGGTTGCATTGGATCTTCTTCCTCTGTTATACTGGCCACTTCGCTAAACGCCTACTTGAGACGCGTTTTATCCACCGATTCTCACACGCAACAATGCCTCTTATGAATTTCGTGCGTAATTGCGCTTATTACTGGCTTTTCGCCTTTGCTATTGCCTACTTCACTAATCACCCCCTTTACAGTGTGGCATGTAAGTTCTCTACGATAACTATTTTTTTCTTTCGAGAATAACGCCACGTTTTGGTGTTTTGTCTCCTATTTTTTTACATTTACTCAAAGGGGGATAATTTCTTAATTGGGGATGTTTTTTCCCGTAATTTTTCCCTACCTGATTTCCCACATGCTTTGATAATAAATTGAGGATGTACTTATATGGAATAAAAGTACTCCTTTAGAAGTCCATTAAAGTCACTCCTTCTTTATTTCAGATTTCGGATGTCCTCAAATATGCACTGGATTGGGACTCTTTTTGGTAAGTCATCAATGATAACTTTTTTACAATTAATTCCCTCGTTTAATTTCTTACCATGTAATAACACTCCTGGGTATTTTCACCCTACGAATACCACAAACTTGATCGCTCTATATCTGCCCTCTTAAGCAAGCCTAAGTCTATGTAATGTCTGATCGAGCTTTGTGTTCTAATTTTGGTTTCAAGTATTTAATTGTCAGCGGATTGTATTTCAGTGGTTTTGGAATCGATATTCCACTTGGCCAATGACTGACCACTGACCTTTTTTGTTACAGTAAATGAATAAGCCATTGCGGTATCATCCTCTACGAGTACTTTTATCTTTAACTAATTCTTACCTACCTTCTGTGTTTGTGTGCAACGATTATTGGCTTTTAAATGCACCAGGAGTCGGTATAGTTCAGAGGTGAACTCCGAGCAAGTTCTTTAACTTTGATCGATGATCAGTCACGCTTCCTGTAAAAGCGATGCATTTCATTCACATGCTTATTTAATTCCATGATATTCATATTTTTATTTCCTTCTGAAGGTTGGTGAAATAGGAAACTTCTGCTGTCATATTGCATTGCGCAATCTGCGCCCTGCTGGATCGACAGTGCGTAAAATGCCACGCCCAGTGGCCTCAAACCCACCCACATTCCTATTCAATTTTGTCGCTTGTCCAAACTACACATACGAAGTTCTCAGCTGGATTGGCTTCACCATTATGACGCAGTCTCTTCCGGGTAAATCCGTCACTATTTCCTTATGATTAGCTATGCTTGCTTAGGGATTAGCGTACTTGTTTGGGAAGTCAGTGATCTTGAGCTCAGTTTTATGCCCATTAGTACATATCTAACTGATGGAATGGCCAACTGCTATGGCTGAGTCTGGGTTGACAAATGTGATCTTATTAGCTATTCTTATTGATGCTACCCCTTTATCCAAGGCGAGTGTTAATAAACACTTCCCAAATGAGCTTGGTAGCTATCGCAGATATGAAACGAATATTTATGAAAGTTTGAATAGAAATTTGAAAATTGGTTTTGGCATGATGGTTTTTGTTGTGCGCTTTTTCTCGTGATTCGTCTTAGCACTTCGCTTCCTTCCTGGAAACTATGAAAATGCAGTTCCCATACTTAACCCCTTACATTTCCCATTGTCATCGAAGTACATCCTCATATAGGTTACTAGTTTCCATGCTCCACCTCTTATCACGAAAATTTGGCTAGGTACAAGCACCTTTGATAACTGTTTTCCCATGTTTCACGTCCCATTTTGTTTAACTTTCTTATTTGGGAAAAGTATCAAAGCTTTTTACTATTCCGATATGTTTGTATCAATTTGTGAACTATCTTTATCTACTTAGCTAATGCTCCTAGTGGTCATGCAGGTTCACTAAATTAATCCATGACGTACTCTTGTGAAGCTACTTTATTTTTTAGTATTGGCTTCACTGAACTCTACTAGTTTGAAACTCACAATTTTTAACCAATCGTTATTTCGCTATCTTGCCATTTTTTCGAAACAGTTGGTAACAGATTATCGCTTCTCTGACATGAACCTTATACTACTTTAATTGTTTAAATAATAACTGATGCATAATAGAGCGTTTTTATTATTTAGCTGCACTCTTCACTCTCTTTGGTTTCGCGACAATGGCTCAGTGGGCGCGCAAAAAACTACGCGCATATCGTAAGGAGTTCGAGTCCTGCCCTAAGGGACTTAAGGCTATCGTTCCTTTCATCTATTAAAGGCCCCTACATTTTCCTCTTTCAATCTCTGCGTTGTCAATATCCTTTGTTCACCTAATACTTGAAGAATAAATATAACTTGTTTTTGGTTACGATGGCTTTGTCTACAATCTTATTTTGAGTCATGGGGGTGAGTATCAAATAGTTTTGTGCTAAAATTGAGCACCAAAAATCGTTATGTTGTCATTATTGCGAATATCTTATCGCGAGAGCATGTTTTAATAAGGCACAGAAGTAATTTCGTTATATTTGAGGCAACTGGTGGATATTCATCTAGGCATGTGCTGCTAGCGTCCTTCTATTGTAATAGTAAGAGTAAGGAAAACTTACAAGTAAATCGATTGTAGTGTGGTAGGCACAGCATAAGGTGGCTTAGTGAACAATTAGTGACTGTATTACAATCAGGAAGATGTACATGAGATAAGAGTTTGAAATTTTCTCTAAGTCCATGATTCTGGTAGGAACCAAAGTTTGCGACATGATGAGCTAAAGTTCAACTGATTTCTCAATTAATTGTTATCTAGTTTCATTATGGCACATTTCTAGATGTCTCCATACTAATGAAATATTCGACACTGTAAAGTTAACTTGGACGATTGGAACATCTATCGCGAATTGCTACACCAAAAAGCATTGACTCATACTCTAACCTCTATGGGAAGGTCCCCTAAAAACACAGAGGAAACAGTGTGGAACAGGTTTATTTGGGTCGAAGGTTTCCCACAGATCTTAGTCATTAAGTTACCATGTGGGGTTTTTTAAACAATGTAGGCTCTATTGATTGGGGGCTGGCTGAAATGCCTCTGAACTTGCTCCTCCCGAAACAAGCAGTACGGCCTCACCTTCGAGTCTGTCTGAGTGCGCATGGGATCGCTTTGTTTATTCATGACAGCCTTGAGCGCTCCACACATCTCATTAATAGGCAGCGTTTTTCATTTTGCTCAGTGTCTAAGACTGCCACAGTCGTGTTTCACCATAAATTTGTTTGCGATTTTGTTTAAGCTTATGAAGCTATGAAACGATTTAACTAATATATGTATAGTATGAGGTGAAAAAATGTTGAATTCTTTCTAAAGAATACATTGAATATCAGAGTTATTTGTCGAAGGAGCTAAAACAGTTCTGATTTGTTGCAGATGGCAAAATGGTTAGAATATTCTACTTCCATTCTAAAGATAAACCGTATGATTGTCTTTTATCTCTAAGCTAATCAATTACTTAAATTCCCTAAGTAATTTGTAGAGAATGGTCACACAAATAACCCTAAACTTATACTCAGTAATCTCTATGGCAGATTCTCCTATTTAGTTATGACTCCCGGAAATGTCTAAGCCACTGCAAAGCCATTGAGAAAACGGATGTATGTCATGAACTACATTAATTCAGGTGATGTTAATTTGGGGGTGGGGTGGGGGGAGTATACCGACCGTATTAGAGGTGCCATTGTCCCACAGAGAGCATGGTCTCTAAATGCAGTTGCGAATATACTAGCAACGTTATGGCCTTGGCTATTGATAGATCGAGAGGTCTCTGAACACGTGATCTAATTTGCTTGATGGCGCAATTCACATATTTAGACGAACATGCGCTTCTTTGCTTAGGCCATGCTAATGTTGTGTTCCCCACAAATTACACTTTACAAATACACTGCGATAAAGTCACAAGAGACTATAAAAATGCCAAAAGCAAAGCACGATGCATATTACCACGTGAGTTATTATGCTAACCTTATGCTGTAACCAATTAATCAAATCCAATATATGGTACGTTATTTGGTATTACATTGGTATTTGAAATTTAACTAAATCGGGCCAATGCAAGCATAATAAAAGGGCAGTTTCAGAATTCTTATATATATAATGAAGGAAAATTATAATGATAAGCCTTCCATCTTTCCTTTGAAGTTAAGATTACTAGACATTAGATAAAATGTTCTTGAAAATAATCAGCAAAGCTAGATTAAAAAGTAAACATATTGCCGGATAAAATACCGATGCAAGTTGGAAAATATGCGGTGTACTTCAGAGATACAGATTCAGGCCCGTTTGCGTACATCAGGCACGAACTGAAGTTCGCTTGCTCAAAATACTGAAAAGTATTCAAAAATTATAAATACAGATTAATATATTAGGAATGATAAGTTTAGAGAAGAAAGTATCAAGTTTTAAGACATAAAATTTCTATTTTGTGGCATTAGCTGAAACTTATTCAATCATTCATTTTTTTGCTTTCTCCAAACTTTGAAACGTTTCATCAAGACCTAGAAATTCATCAACTTCTAATAACACTTTCGCGACTTTAGCCAAAAAGATATGCCGGCTTAACTGAGTTAAATAATAAATTTGTTAAGGGCATTTATGAAATGTCAATAGTCGTACAATGGAACTCTGGTAAAATGAGCAAATTTATGAAAATTCGGATTTGTCTGAATATATCGCGGAATTATTTTTCACGTGTTTGAAGTTAAACCAATTATATTCGCGATTATTTCGCGAAGAATTGACTAATTTTGATGAATTATTTTTTACCTTAAACTCTCTTTAGTAGTACAACACTGAAGCTTTAACGCCTTCTGAATAAATAATTGTAAAATAAACGAAGATTGAAAAAGAGATATTTAAAACAGAAATTCGAAAAATTATTGCAAAAATTCCATTTTGAGTTATTCCTATTCTCTATCTCTTAGAACGTTTAAATTCAAAATTTTAATAAATAATTGCAAATCGATATTATTTATGCCAATTTTATCAACTTTTAGGATACATCCAAATTGCAATAAATTCAGCCTGTTGGATTTTGACTGAGTTCCCAATCGACCTTGAACAAAATTTTAGCCAAAGGGTATTAACGTTAAATCTTCACCTGTGTGGTCATTCCGAGGCGTACTGTGACGCACCTTTCTCATTTAACTCTTAAGTAATGGCTCCAAGCCATTTTGGCTATCCGATTGGCGATTTTTTTGTATATGGATGGTCGATTTCTGGTAACGAAACGGCTATCGGTGTCAAAACTCGCGGATTATTTGCTCTATTTGATGTAGGTATTGCTCCTTCTTGGTCAATCAGTGCGAAACATGTTTTCATAAGGTTAAATATTGCTTATTTTTTAATGAAATTAATTTTAGCCATGGCCACATAGATCATATTGGAGCAATTTGCCAGCACATGAGAAAACGCGTGTTAAATAATATCGGCCCTGCAACCTATTACCTCCTTCCACACCTTATTGAACCAGTCAAAGCACTGTGTCGTGCTTATAGTGAACTTCACGGTTGCGAAATGGGCCAAATATCTGAACCTAAGTTAGTGGAAATGATTCCGGGTTCACGAATACAGGTATGGGTTTGAGTAACTTCTAACTTTGTTACCAAAGATTGAGAGTAAATGGTGGGTAGAGGGTTTTCAAACCGACCACGTTGTTCAAAGCCTAGGCTACATACTTTTTTGCCAGGATTTTAAAACGACAGAACTAATACCTGAAATTGCTTATACTGGTAAGAGCTCGTAACTTCAGAATACCTTAAGCTGATTCGTCTTTCTGATCGGAGTTTGCTTATATCTATTGCTTTAGGGGATACTAGATTTTCTGTGTTTTCCCTACCAGCGCATCCCAACCTCTTGCAAGTTAAACTTTTAATAACTGAATCGACGTATCTTGATGCCGACAACCGATCAAGAGAGAATTCCCAAAAATATGGTCACATCTGTATTACTGACTTCGCCATAAACTCACGGCTATTTAGGGTAAGTTACATATTTTATTATAATTTTGGAACCTATGCTGAAAATTTGTGTTTTCGTGTATGTCAAATTTTGTCAATGAACTAGTAATTCCTTACACTGAATGGGCATTTCTAGCCCCACTTCTCGCAGAAGGAGCCTTTGGTTCTCTAAATAAGCTCACAAATGTTTTTTGAAGTGTTGAACAATCTATTGTTGGCAAATTGAATAGTATGTTAATTTCGGTAATGCCAAAAACGTCGAAGATGGTAAATAATGTGTATTTTCCGTTTTATAACCTTGTCTTCAAGATGTTACAAGTATCATAATAAAATCACCATAATGGTAGATTTCTACCCCATTTTAGTAATTTTTCAATATTAATAATAACAATTGTTCATTCATTTTTTGTTCAATATTTGTTATGTTTATCAAATAATTTCTAATATACTGATTTTGTTGTTCCTATGAAGACCAATATTTACTGTGTGTGGATATTTGTAGAATTTACTTATATCTTGAGGCACACATCAATCTGTTTATAATCTACATCTCTATTGCTGTTAACTATAACCTCTCAATTTTTGTAAAACTTGTTTGCTTTGTGATAAATGGACTAATTCATCACACAGTGTTGGTGTAGTACGCATTTGAGCACTCTGGGTCAATCCAGTGACCTTTGCACATAAATAATGACTAATTGTTCAGCCTATATTGCAGCATTGAGCCACGTGGACTAGGTCAAAAAGCCAATTCCCTCGTTTCGCTCTGTTTCTTTATTTCTCTTTCAGTAAAAGGTATGTGCTCCGTGTCCATATCATATCTTTGAAATATTTTATTTCTAGTGCAATAGACTTTTCACGGAGAATAATCCATTAAAAGTAAATACCTTGGGAATCGTGGCAATTAAGAGTATACACTTTCTTTTATGTACCTATTGTAAAAAATATCAGCGGCCACTGATATTTTTTACAATTTTTAAACAAGTGTTTTGACCTGCGCAATCGATGGTAACCTATAATTTAGTCGCGCATATTCATTTGACCTTTTGCCAACGATCGAGTTGACACAACTTCTTACTCGATTTTCCCTCTACAACTAGGTATTTCCCCTCTTGACTCACTGCTCGTGATTCTTTGTGACTAGAGATAATTTCTACAGTTATTATTTTTGATGGCCTAAAATTTGAATAGAAGTGGAAAAATGAGAGGCTGAGCAAATTTCAGAATCAGAAGGCCTTTTTTACCCAAGGAGTCTCCCTTGTGTGAAACTAATCCGGGACTTAGCCAGTATCGTCAGCCATTCCACATAATTGCATGCTCACAAATGACCAACATTCACACATAAGCATGTTGATCTTTATTTTACCGATATTGTAACTGTACCCTCTCTTCATACATGTTTTATGATGAGCAATTTACCTAACAGATTTGGTTGATTATCTAGGTGAAGTTTTTTTCCTTCAATGGGTTTTATAACTGCAGTCATTACTGTGATGGATTTGAAATAAGTTTGGAATTTAATTGCGAAGGACATTTTTTAGTTCGATATTTCTTAACCCCTATTCCTTTGACTGAATATTGTTCTAAATCTGTATTAATTATACTATGCTTGCTGCACAGAGTTTGCCTGAATGTTCTTTACAGTTAATTTCTTTATCGCTATATTCTAGGATGTTGGTGCCATCTTTCTGATGCACTTCTCTGACCGCTATAGTCTACAAATGATCAAGGATAGGGTATATTGCTCACTGCCGGAAGATCTGGCAGAAAAAGTCTACTGTTCTCTTACAGCGAAAAAGGCCCTCAAAGTTGAACACAGTGCGGAGCCCCTAATGCCATAGAAAAATTACTTCCTACTTAAATCGGTAATAAGTAGGAGTGCTTTGTTATATGGAAAACAGGACGTTATTGTTTTTTTGCTAAACATTTTTAATAGGCGTTTGGTTTATCTAACTGTCAATAAAGAAATAGATCCTCTTATGCACACTCGGTATAACTAATTGTTTACTTTACTGTTCAGCCTGAGGTTAAGTTTTGAGGAGGATCAAATGGTAGCATGTAGAGAAGTTAGGACATCAAGAGCCTTAGGTTATTTGTATTCATGAAGCTTTGAGTTAAAGCTATCTTATAATGATTATTACCCACAAATACAATAACATGCATAGTTTTTAACTACGGCAAGCAACTTAAATAGTTTAGGAGAAATTCCAACAAATGGTAAAGGTAAAGGGGACGAAATTGTTCTATGAGCAGCGTTAAGAGATTAATGAACCTTAATTAGTTAGATTTTCTGAATTGAGTTGTGTAGGGTTTGCTGGTCGTTGAAGTATGTCTGTCGATGAAACCAGTTCCTCTTCCAATGTTTGAGAATGCTAGGTTACCTTATATGGAATTTATAAGCTTAGCATCTTAACGTGATAGAGATACGATAATTAATCTAGTATATCTAGTATAGTATGGCCAATTTAGTTGAACCGAAATTGATATGGGCGAACTGTTGGTACTTGATCATAAATTCCACTAATGTCTATAATGTCTCTGATACTGACTGACACGTTCTCCGTCTATTTCGGGGTTGAAGATTTTTAGCCTTAACAACAAATTGCATCTCTTTACGCGTGAAAATATTAACTTACAGAATTGTGTCCTTTACCGCAGCAATGAGAACGATAATTCTTATTGCGTCATGGAGACCGAGGTGATGGGGATGATAACTTTTTTGATTAGGGAGAAAACTTCCAAGTAGAATGTGGATTGAAGAATTTTTAATGTAATGGTCAGAAATTATAAAATTTGTTCATCAGAACCACATTTCCAACTACTCCTGTTTGCCTACTTTGTATGGAAGCAATAAGTAGTGAGATGATTCGATATGTTAAATGGACTTACTTTTCAATCAGCCTGTCTTTACAAACAGGATCACCAATGCCTAAGATCTTGAAATATTTTGACATGACAAGCTAATCTTAGTGATCTCAAATAGTAATCAATGAATCACTCAAGTAGTTCTATTTTAATTTTAATGAGCACACAAATAAAAAATTATGGGAGGTTTTCGGCACACCCGTCGGTGGTTTGTTAAAAGAAAAATAGGTATTATTGCCTCCAATCGGCAAAAACGCATTGTGATGAAAGCTCTACTGCTCTTTATAATTTAATCATTATTGGAGAAATTTGAAGTATGTGAGTGCAGTTACTACAACCTCATTCCATTCACTTTGTTATGGAAATGAGACAGAAATGTTACCAAGGTAAATTAGATTCAGCATCCTCGTATTCTTTGAGTCAATCGATCAACAGTCTGCTCCTACTACTTCTAAATACATGCCTGATAATGACATAGAATTTGGGCACACATGGGACTGTTTTTGATTTGAATACTTCATAGAAAGTAGATTGGAATATGCATCCATGACCTGATTGGAAGTCGCAGTGTGTTCATCAGAAATGTTGTTAGCAACTTGGGTTCTTCAATTTCCGCTCTTAAATAATTGCGCCTAGCAAATAAATTCTGCCACTATTACATTACTGTTCAATTAGACTGCCAGACAATCTCGTATAATCAAAACTATAAATACTCGACAATATTCTCATTACAAATCGGTAATTGTTGAGTTCGAAGTCATCGACTTCCTTGCTATTGGGTCTGTGCAACTGCATTCAAAACACACAACGATGAGCACTAGAAAATGAGGTGGTGATAATCAAGACCACTAAGTAGTCGCATGACACCTCCACGTTAGAATGAATGATAGGAAGGAAGGCAATCTTACCACTAACAGGGTGACAATGAGTCCTAGTCCAACTGGGAGATCCAGAACAATAACTCTGTCTCTATCATCTCATGAGTCGGTAATGAGAACAAACCATGTTCCCACATTCACTCAGCCGTACTAAGTCAAGAGAACTGACATAAATTTGTGCATCCGTTAAAGCTACTGGATGATTGGTTGTAGATGACTCGTAATTAATCTTTGAAATCAATTGCATTGGGTGTTTCTTAATGAGTACTCCTCTACTTTCAAAATTCAATATTTCCTAAGGTACATGTCTAAATTTGAGTTCACCCATTGATGAATTGTCATGGCTGCCCACAACATTTAAATTCCTGTTTTCATGTGCTGAGTGTAGTAATTCGAAATAGGCCAAGCTGATTTTAATACAGTGGAGGCCAGTAAGGCTCTTTTAGGAAAGCGGTGCATAGGGAACAAATTAGTCTCCTCACAGACCTCTTTAATGTTTTAATATCAATTACAAATGCCAACTTCAGGTGCCTGGTATAACTTTTTTCCAGATGTACACTCACGAAGTTAAGTTCGCATCATCAAGTACTTCCTTCTGCTCCAATATATCTGAAAGTATTGTAATTACCAGAGCGCTTAATTCAGGAAAGTTTTACAATTTCATCTTCTCTTTTGTCCTTCACAATTCACATTTATGCAAAATAAATTTTATTTGAAATCCGTTTTCCCACAGACCTCCTTCATGATTTAATATCGATAATTTGAGTCAACTTCACGTGCTAGGTAAATCTTTTTTTTCTAAATGTGCTCACACGAAGTGAGCCTCGCATCATTAAGTACTCTCCTCTGTTTCTATTAATACATACCACACAAAATTTTGATTGAAATAATTGTTCTCACGAATGGGTGTTTTCTTCGTCTTTTATAAGTATCAGAAACGAAATATTGACTAATGGATGATATTTTTATGAAAAGATGTTCTTAAATAAAAGTGGATTTATTAGTGAATATGACGTTTTCAAAATGGCCTTAATTAGCATAAATACGTTTATCATAAAGTAAGAATGTAGTAAATTGGACCAAAAGATATTAGCAAACTAGTATTTAGAAATGATGACATTTATAGCTTGTAATTTATTTTCCATTCAAACTTTGGTGAAATGATCGCCAAAAAATGGTATTCCTCCACCCCCACCCCACCTCATGAGGCCATTGAAACAACATATATTTCAACTTTAAAGTAAATACATAGAGTTCCACATTGCTTTATTCGGTACAAAAAGAAAGAAGGAGAATGGATTGGAGTTAATCTAACTGGAAGTGAGAGCTGGAATAGAAGTTGTCATAAAGAAGTCAATAATACAAAAGTTCAACAAAAATATTCTGACTGTAATCTTTGGAAGTTCATAGGTTTAATCAAATTATCCATTAGTCCTCAAATCATGTTATACAGTTGGCAGTTGGACAGCACCTGTGATAAAATATTCTTGATAAAAGAGCATTGACGTTTTTTAACATTTTTTAAAGGAATTTATGAAATAAATTTATGTTTATTAAAGCAATAAATACACGGCACCTTAATTTTCTCTAGGCCTCTTCGTGTTCATTACATCTTAAATTAAAAATATGGACGACATGACATTTTCTTATATTTATAAAATGAAAAAACAATCTTTTTAAATTACGTACTGGACTGACGTTTGTCAACAACGCCATTGTGAGGTGGCGTCAAAGCTGGCAGAATTAAATCAAAAGAAACAAAAAAGTTCTCTTCTAAATAACGAATATATCAAAAAGTAATACATTAACTGGATTTTCAAAATGCGATTTTATCCATTTGATTTCGTAAATTAAGGAACATTAATTTGAACAATTGAGGCTTTACATTAGCTACTAGATGGGTCTCAATTAAAGCATCCAATTGCCATAAATGCCGTTTCGACTTTGGTCTTCTTCCTACTCCGAAATAAATTCCACTTGAAGTTTTCATCGACATGTCTTAACCTCCATTTAACTGTCACCTTAATTAGCTCATCTCCCACAAGTTGGACTTCTTATTTGTCTTCCCCATGACTCATCGANAATATATCAAAAAGTAATACATTAACTGGATTTTCAAAATGCGATTTTATCCATTTGATTTCGTAAATTAAGGAACATTAATTTGAACAATTGAGGCTTTACATTAGCTATTAGATGGCTCTCAATTAAAGCACCCAATTGCTATAAATGCCGTTTCGACTTTGGTCTTCTTCTAACTCCGAAGTAAATTCCACTTGAAGTTTTTATCGACATGTCTTAACCTCCATTTAACTGTCACCTTAATTAGCTCATCTCCCACAAGTTGGACTTCTTATTTGTCTTCCCCATGACTCATCGATCCCCCCCCCCCCAACCACTGCACTCTGTGTCTCCAGACATCTACATGCTTTCTCTCCCAGTAAAGGCAACCGACGCAGTACATGCGAGTGTTAAATCTGGTTTCAACTTGAACAATTTCAGCTGTTACATTTCTTCCGGCATCAGAAACCTTTGTCTTGGATCATGAAATGTGTAAACAAGAGGTCTCAAGAGAATTCAAATCACCGCTCATAAAAATCTGTACAATTCTTCTTAATGTCTTTCGACATAATCGTCAATGCAAATATCCTTTTCATGTGTCCTGAAGAAAAACATTTTACACCCCTCGCCAATTAGTATGCACAGTAATTATAAAATCACGTATCAATGCAGCCCTGTAAGTATCTATTGAAGTGGGAGACAACTACCCTGTTTGAGTCTGATCAACAGGATAAGTGGTGGAATGTGAGTTCCTCTTCAGAGAGGCTTCAAGATACTTCCCATTCTAACACACTGACAATTATTGGTTCCATCTCTTCAACGCACCTCGGCAGTTTACCTGTCAATGTGCTATTTTGTTTTGATGATGTTCGCAAATGTGCACCAAATCTAACTCCTCCAACCTTGTTATAAGAAATAAATTGAACTGCATAAATATGGGAAAAACATACCAAGTGGCGTAAGAATAGTCGGACCCAGATTTTCTTTCTTAATAACGTGAAGAACAAAGAGATACAAGAATGCCATTTGAACCTATCATGGAAAAAACAAGTGCATTTAAAAAGCGAACGATTTCTGAGTTGGCCATATCAGTATAAGAAAAACTAAGAGCCAGATCATTTAATTTAGGTAATTTATGGGATGATGAGCCGTGCATTTTCGCAGTCTTCCAATAACTGGAACTCACAATGCTAATTCCGTAGATGGAGATTCCTTACGTGGAATGATTTTGAATCTGAAATCGGTATTTGGGACAGTTGCATGCACTTCGATATATCTGACCACTGTTTCAATTGCCGCTAACCACGTCTATGACACTTACTCACCGGACGAAAATGAAGTCTAAATGTCCGAGTAGACATTCTTTCTCTTCAAGCATACATTCACATACATTCCAACTTCATCGTTTCGAACTGCGGTTTCTCATCGCCTACTCAAATCCTGGCCAATAAATATTAGCAACGAAATTAACACACTCCAAATGCTTTCTCATATGACAGAGACGTGTTAGATCTTCTTAAATGATCGAGCCAACTGGAAGATCATTTGAATTCCATTTACTTCAGAATGATCACATCTGAAAGGGAAAACCAAGGGTGTATTGAACCTCTTTAAAGTAAGTGAAACGAAATGGTATTCGTGCACTTATTGCAGCTTGAGTAACCGACAGGAGCTAGATTTTTTCATATTTCAAAAATTCTAAAAGGGGACGCCTGAAGTTAACACATAAACAGNAGCCAACACTGTACCCACTACATCAATTTTCGAGGGATCTCTTCTCAGTTGTTCAAGAAGGAATCGTCCACAAATAAGTGTTCCTGTTCTGCCAACACCAGCACTGGAAGTGTGACAAATAAATACAACAATTAGTTGATGCACCATACACCAATCTTACTGATTGTATTGGCAACTCCACTAACCTGCAGTGAACTACTGGTGGACCATATTCGCCTATTGGGTATTTGGTATTGAGTTCCATGTGCAGTTTCAGCAATTCATAGTATTCATCCATTTCCATACACTTGTAATCTTCCCACACGAAAGTTTGAATTTGTGTGACTGTCCAAGGCTAAAAGGTAATTCAAATTCCCATTAGACTTTTCAGGGAGATGACCACAAGTCAATCACACCACTGTATGCCATTCATCTAGGTTTATGGAGTGGCTGTGGAAGACTGGGAGGATATTTTAGCAACATAACTGACTGAACAAGGCAAAGCATATAATTTCAACTTTTGATTCAAACGCGAAGTTATCCATTAAGTACTTCTTTAATTACAGTTGACTCCGAAGTTTGAAACAAACAGCCAATTTCTATAACAACAAAGAAGTTCTTGTTTGAAGAGCGAAGTTTCAATCCCTAGTCCTGAATGCAACGGATCATACTCGCGTGCTTCTTTTAATCGATTGGGTCGACAGAACCACAGGAAGTCCACTTGAAGGACGAATATTCTCAGTCTCACTTTCTCCAAGTTCATAGAGATATTCGGGGAGAACCATACAGTTTTAAATCAAGTGAGTGCCTAACCACGTCACTGTTATTCACATTCTCAAGTGCTACCAATCTTTGAAAATAATCAAATATGCATGGAATTCTATTTAGCCTCCGATGTTCCACACTTTATCACTTATGGGCTAATTACATCGTTTTCTGCATTACTTGCATTTCACTTCTCTCAACTAAACTAGACTTTACCGAAGAAGGAGGCAAAGACGGACTCTCCAAGCATTTTAAACACTAAGGCAAATATTTTTCGCGCCTCTATGTATTAGGTGCTACAGTCACTTGTGAGAAGAACNCACTGTTATTCACATTCTCAAGTGCTACCAATCTTTGAAAATAATCAAATATGCATGGAATTCTATTTAGCCTCCGATGTTCCGCACTTTATCACTTGTGGGCTAATTACATCGTTTTCTGCATTACTTGCATTTCACTTCTCTCAACTAAACTAGACTATACAGAAGAAGGAGGCAAAGATGGACTCTCCAAGGATTTTAAACACTAAGGCAAATATTTTTCGCGCCTCTATGTATTAGGTGCTACAGTCACTTG